TAATAAAATTAAAATATTTTTTTAAAGTAAAAAATAGTTTAATGAAGAAAGAAGCTTTGCTATGGAATATATCAGGTTAGAAGTAATATAAAATTATATGCTTTTAATTACTTATTTTTTTTCAATTCAAGTTATATTTTATTGATTTTTGATAACATATAAATGTATCATTTTTCTTCAAAACATTGGTAATTATTCTAATATCAATAATTGTATGTGCTGTTTAACTACGTTCTTTTTTCACATATAAATGTATTAATTAGTTTTACCAGCTTGTACATTGCATTGGTTGCATACTGACTTCATCAACTCTATGTTGTCTAATCTAATTCGATGCGTATCAACCATTGGATCAAGTCTCTGCTGAAGAAGAAGACCAAGACCTTTATGTGCCAATAATAACAAGAAATTCATAAAATTATTTTAGAATAAAAGAATTTGCATTCTTTCCTAGTACAAAAAGGAGGTTAATTTCCATCAATAAAATGGAGCTATAACGATAGCAAAAATATTTTCTCAATACATCCAAAGAGAAAAACTTTCCTTCCATGCTAGTACCCAATAAGAGACCACGACTGTGCTGTGATTAGAGTCATGAAAGTGACTCTATTTTGATGATAAAAATACCATTTGTGTAATTAAATTGAAGTTATATTGAGACAATTGAATAAATTTTGGAATTATTAAAGGAAAATCACATTTTAATTTTTCCTTACAATTTGTGCATGTTTGGAATGATTTTTGAGATGTTGTGAGTCAATATTAGGGTGTGGTTTATTTATTAGGTCTGAATTTGTCTCATTTATTCTGTTTAGGGGGTAAATTGTCATATTTTTTGGGATTGATTTTGTCAGTTTTCATTCATAGAGGGACTGATATAAAGCTTGCCAAACGTAGTACAATAGAACCTCTCTATAGTGATACTCTATATAGGAATAACCTCCATATAGTCATAAAAACTTCCTGTCCTAACTTGGGCCAGTTATAAATAAAAATAAATTTCATATTGTAATAAGTTATAATTTTGATAGGTCTCGTCTTAGAAAACTTGCCTCTACATAATAATAATTATATACATATTGCAAAAAATATATGCTATGTTACATTAAAGGTTTAAGATGAAATAAAATATTTATCTAAAGTTATTTGGGATAATGATTTATGCTTTAACATTGTTACTACATCTTTTATCTTGCGGGTACATAAGCCAAAATATTTCTAGCTCTCAAGCATGTTTACAGCTTCTTGGCATGAAATTTTTGGTATTTCTGTACTATCATCCTCAAAATTATCTCCTTCCTCTTCTTGTCTAATTCCAATGATGATTTCTTTTTCAGTTAAAACATACATGACTAGTTGCTCATTTGGATTATTGAGGAAGGCATTGATATCCATTTGATTAGTGTAGTGAAGTTATCGAATCTGAGCACTCAATTTTACAATGACTCTTTGATATCCATTTTCATGCTATCCTAATGCTACTAAAACAATGAATTGAAATCCTAGTATAATTACTAAAACATGAATTATAAAATAAGAAATCAAAACAACAATTCTTGTAACTACACATTTATTAAATTATAACTTATTTATAGTAATAAATTTAATTGGTCATAATATTATGACTATAAAGAAGTTCTACTATATAAAACAATATGAATAGTTCCCGATCAAGAGTGCCGCTCACCCCCAAACATAACACACGTGGCCTTGTATTTCTGATCTTTTTCACAAAAATCAAACATTCCTTCTACATTAATAACACACATACTTCAAATTCATTAACAAAGAGAACTAGTCACTTTCCAATATTTACCTATATTTCTAATCACCAATCCAACCAATCCAAGTTATTTTCATGAATTAATGTTCTTCTTGTTAGGTTTCGTCGGTTGATGTGGAAATGCTACCCTTGCCCACCTTTAGTTGGAGTATTATTAATATTCAATAGATTTTGTATTAGCCCCCGTGACTTTTAGTTTAGGCAGAACCCATATTTTGTGGGTTAAGTATGTTAATTAAGTAATTATCATATTGGTGACAAATTAAGTTTGTCCATGTGAAATATGGAATAATATAATATGCATTTATGAGGGATCGATATAGAGGAGGAATGAGTTCAAGCAAACTGTTTTTCTTCTTTCAGTTAAAAAAAGAAAATTAAATATTGCCTATAAGACAAATTTCTAGTTTTCTAGCCCATGATAGGATTTGGGTCAGGTGTGGTTGTTAAAAGGCCCATAAAGATTCTAAGAGTGAAGAGTCCAAAATTTAAAGAAATGTGGTGTTGAAGCCCATCAAATTATGATGTACATCAAATTTGCCTCATAATAGAAGATAAACTATTGATTTGATTATAATATATTTGGTAAATTAAAGAAATTCTGACGCTCAAAAACAATAATAAAGTAGCAAAAACATTTAAAATATTATCCATTTATGGGTTAAACATAATAATCTCGTAGATTATGCATGCCATGATTATATTATGTCGATATTGTGTTTCCATGTTGAAAAACATATATCACATGCATAAGTAATCTAATACACATATTTAATGCAATATAATTTCAATTTAATTAAAATTTCTTCACTTTCATGACTCTAACATGTGCCACACGCAGTCTTTATTGAAATTTGTTTTTATTTTGCTGTAGTTTTTTTGAAAATGATCACAGATAAAGGCCTTGGTCTTCTTCTTCCACAACGACTTAATCCCGTGGCTGATACGCGACACAAATTAGAATTGACAGCATAGAATTAAAGAAGTCAAATGAATAAGACCCCACTATGTCGGCTATAATGTTGGGAAGTGAAATTAAAATAGATGATTAATTTAGTTGCCCTGCTTCTTGCCATAGAATGCTTGGTCAAGTAAAAGATGTTAATGTTTTACAGTACTGGAAAGGAAAAAGAATCAACAAATTGGACTCCACCAAGGACAGGGATCAAAAAGTTGCAGGGTCTTATTATTAATTGAAGTTTGAAACACTAACGGGGCTAGTTTTGGTTTATTCAGTTCCGTCTGTGTTATTTAATTCTACTTTCAGGAAGCAACATTGGATTAACTAGAGTTTCCAATTTATTTGTAAGTGCTAGCTCTGCAGAGGTTAAAGGTATCAGTGTGAACTTTAATACTGGAACCATAAGGATGATATATTGGAGACAGATTAAGAGATCCTTTCCTCGGTGAAAGAATTAACAAAATATTTCATGGAATGAGCTTTCAGGCCCTCCATTAATATTGGAACCATAAGGAGGATATATTGCAGACAGATTATTCATATTTGGTTATGACTTGGATATTTTATAATGTAAGAATTGGAAGATATTTCCGTGACGTCTCGGATCTGACTCATGCAAGCGACGTTAATCTGTTCCTTGATCAAAGTCCACACATTGACTCATAAGTCATAAGAGTAAACGATACCTTCCCACCCAAGGTTGAGTGAAATGACAGTTCCTACCCTGTTATCATAAATTTCAGATCCTCTTAATGTAACTGTTAAAGGGTAAAATAGTCTTTTGCTCTTCATTAAATCTTAAATTAAATTGAAATGAAAATGAAAATTTCAAAATATGCCTCCACATCTCGAAGCGTAACATGGCTGGATGGTGGCTTTGGGTGAGGAATTTTGTCAAACAGGTGGTGAACTGAAGGCTATAAATAAAAGAGCACTTCATCTTCATTGGAACACCAAATCAAAAGAAGAGATTGGAACACCAAATCAAAAGAAGAGAAATCATTCAATTTTTAATTCACCAATAAAAAATGGCTCTAGCAATGGTAGTGGCACCAGGAGTCGAGAAGAAGAATAACAACAACACTAAAAAAAGAGAAGAAGAAGATCTAAATAAAAAATATAAGGCAATTTACGAACATGTAGATTAGAAATTCTATTAATACAAGATAATAATTTGTTATATATATTAAAGAAAGAGAAGAAGAAGATCTAAAGAAGAGAAACGAAGAGCTCGAAAGAGAGTTGAAGAGAAGAACAAACGAGAGTTGAGCTTCAGAAAGTTCTGGAACGGCTGCGTTTGGCAGAGGAAGCTGAAGAAATGCTATGTTCATAGCTAGGTGAACTTGAAGTAGAGGCTGTCAATCAGGCGCGTGACTATCACTCTCAGATTGTCTCTCCTATGAGCAAGCTGTCCAAAGAACTTCTGCCATTACTGTGTAATTTTATTTATTCTTATTTGTTAGTAGTTCCTAAAAAAAAAAAGTTTCTCTAGAGCTTATGAACGTCGGTCCAATCATGAGCAGAAATTTTATTTCTGGTAATTTGAATGTTAAAGGGATTTGATCTGTGCAGTGTGGTGCGGTGTAATTGATTCGTGCTCACCGGACTTGAGGTCAAAGATGACGCCAGCCTCGTCGTTGTGTTGTCGCACGTCATTAGTCGAAATTTGTTGGGATTGTTGGTGATGAAGTTTGTTTGGATTGAAAGAAAATTAGAGGGTTAGGTGGGTTTGGATTGAAGAGGGTGTTGGTGAATGAATTTGAGATGTATAGGACTTTCCTAAAATTTTATTAATTTGGCTAGATGGTGACTGTGGCGACAGTGGTAGTGGTTAGGTGGTTGGAGATTGGGACTGTGAAGGATGAGAGTGAGGGTGTTATTGAAATAAATTTGAAAGTAATATAGTTATTTTTTTAATTCTACTAATTTGGAGGTCAAAAAAATTTATTAATTTATTAGTCAAGGGCAGTATGGTAATAACCTGTTGCACCTGTATGTGAACCTAAAATTTGTTAATGGTGTTAGTTTAAGGGTGAAATCTGGAATTTACAAAACCAAGGGTGGCACTTCTTACTTTTCCTTGCGCTAAACCTTGGGTGGGATCATGTTGTTTACTCTAAGTCAACTGTGTCAACTGTTTTGAGTGAACTTGCTCACGCATTTTCGGGCCCCCGCACACACACATGTAAATTTTCTCCTAAATAAACTTAACAGAATATGATTCTAAGTATACACACACATACATAAATATAATTTTTCTCCAAAATAAACTCATCAAAATATGATCTGAGTTCACTAATGGCTCCAAAAAGAGTTATGCTTGCAGTGTTCTTTGTCATCTACTCTTTAATATTCTTCTCAGCAAAATCAGAAACTTGGGTTAAAGGTGGTTACTGGTATTCACGCAGCAAGCTCCCGAGTTCGGGCATAAATTCTGCTCTCTATACACACCTTCATTGTGCTTTTGCGGATGTAAATTCAACCTCTTATGAACTCTCTTTACCAGAGTCTGATGAGAAAAAGTTCTCCAATTTCACAGATACTGTGAAACAGAAGAACCCATCAGTCTTGACTCTTCTATCAATTGGGGGTGGAGATGCAAGCTATTCAACTTTTTCTTCAATGGTGAGTAATTCATCTTTCAGAAAATCTTTCATTGATTCTTCAATAAGAACGGCCAGGCTTTATGGCTTCCAGGGCCTAGAACTTGGTTGGGCTTCCGCAAACTCAAGCTCTGATATGTACAACATGGGAGTTCTCTTTGAAGAGTGGCGAGCCGCTATCAAGTTGGAGACAGGAAACTCTAGCCATGCACAACTTATATTGACTGCAGCTGTTCGCTTTCAACCAGGTTTAGATTCAAGAAGCATCCCTGTAGAAGCGATGGAACGGTACTTAGATTGGGTTACTGTTCAGGCTTATGACTACTACACGCCTCAGCGGTATAATTTCACTTCCGCTCACGCTGCTTTGTATGATCCAACTAGTAATGTTAGTACTGATTATGGTATAAGCGCTTGGATTAGCAGAGGACTTTCTGCTAATAAGATGGTTTTGGGTTTGCCTTTCTATGGTTACGCGTGGACGCTTGCAAACCCCGTGGAAAATGGTATTGGTGCCCCAGCAACTGGAGCAGCCATTAGAAGAGGTGGAGCCATAAATTATAAGGACATCAGGGATTATGTTCTGAGATATGGGGCTAATGTTATGTACAACGCAACTTATGTGGTGAATTACTGTACCGTCGGGTCAACTTGGATTTCTTTTGATGATGTTGAGGTTGTCAGAATTAAGGTTGCTTATGCCAAGGAGAAGAAGCTACGTGGTTACATTGCGTGGGAGACCCCCTACGATGATAACTGGATGCTTTCTCAAGCTGCAGGTAAGTGATCAGAACTAAATTCACCAAGAAATCTGTTTCATTATTTCTATCTATAGTAATTACGTGGCTTCCCCAATTTTTTTATGTTATCACTAGTTCCATAGCCGGCACATAAAGCAAAACTATGACATTCTTTATTCATCAGATGACTAGATTTTTTGATCAAGCGGCGATATAAGTATAGGTATGACAATGGCATAGTAGTTAGACCAGTTGTATTGACATATGACCATTTATAAAAATAACAGAACACAAAGTTTTGCACATTGAAAAATTGATTGACAATGAGTTGAATGAAGATTTTTATGGGAAGTCTAGGTAACATAAGGAAAATATTTTTTTCAGCTCAAGAGGGTAATAACGATGGAAGAAATAAGCGGCGGTTTTTAGCAATTTTGTTGTCTACTAGTGCAGCTGCTATTCTGCTTCTGGGCTGCTTTTTGATATATTACTTCTGGATAAAGAAGCTCAAATCAAAAGGTGACTTGTCCAACTATAATGTCTCTTATGATAAAGTGATGAATGATCATCTGATTTTTACTGCCATGTTTATTTGGGTCGGCTAATGAAGGATCAAAGAAGAGAATAAATGACCCATCTGCAGCTGGGGATTTTAACAGCAATGCTCCTAATTTGATAACTTATAATTTTCATGACATTGAAGCCGCTACAGACAGATTTTCTTTTGAAAATAAGCTTGGGGAAGGAGGATATGGTCCTGTTTACAAGGTATATTCTATTAGGCCATTTATTCTATTGCAATTTGGTCTTCCTTGCTGATTGTGGAACATAAATTTCTTTTGTTTGTCAGGCCTTGCTACCCAATGGGCAGGAAGTAGCAGTGAAGAAACTTTCAAAAACATCCACACAAGGATATGAGGAGTTCAGGAATGAGGTTATGCTTACAGCAAAGCTCCAACATGTAAATCTTGTTCGACTTTTGGGATTTTGTACTGACAGAGAAGAGCAGATGTTGATCTACGAGTATATGCCAAACAAAAGCTTGGACTACTACCTCTTTGGTACTGTGAATACTTTGGTGTAATTTTTTGCATTCATTTGCTTTTTTTGCCTTGATTGTTGACAATTTTATTTTATGTAGATCCTATTAGACGATATATATTGGATTGGAGAAAACGTATACATATCATTGAAGGGGTTACTCAAGGTCTTCTATATCTTCAAGAATACTCAAGATTGACTATCATTCATCGGGACTTGAAAGCTAGTAATGTTTTATTGGATGAAAATATGAAGCCTAAAATATCAGATTTTGGTATGGCTAGAATATTTGCAAAAGATGAACTTGAAGCAAACACTGAACGAGTTGTTGGAACCTAGTAAGTGCATATATTTCCTTCTAATGGTACATATATAGTATCTCATATACTCAACCTTGATTGTCCATTGTAGTGGGTACATTCCTCCTGAATATGTTAAAAGAGGCATATACTCTACGAAATCTGATGTGTACAGTTTCGGGGTTTTACTTCTACAAATTATAAGTGGAAACAGGGTTTCTTTATTCTATGGCCCCGAAGAAAACTTAAGCCTACTGGATTATGTAAGTTTCTTCATAACCATTATTATTTACTAAGGACTGTAATTGTTCAAATTTTGGAATTTGAATTGAATGATAATTGGCATTTGATCATTTCAGGCATATGAGCTTTGGAAAGATGGCAAAGGCACAAACTTTATGGATCCATCACTAGACGATATGAATTCCTCTTGTAAATTAATAAAGTGCTTGCAAATAGCTTTGCTATGTGTCCAAGAAAACCCAAATGATAGACCATCCATGTTGGAAGTTTCTTCTATGCTTAAAAATGAAACCTTCGAGATAATGAGCCCGAAGAAGCCCGCTTTCTCAGTACAAGCTGATGGAGATAAAGAAACTATATGCACATTCAATGATACAACCATTTCAGAAGTTGTAGGTAGATGATTGCAGCAAATGTGATGACCAATGTGTGTTATATCCTCAGAAAGAACACATAGGATTTGTATTGTCACAAGTTTCTTAGCCTCCATTTTTGTTTATATTATCAGTACTTTCTCAGCTGGCACATAAGGGAAAACTATGACTTATCTATTAATCAAATGACTGGATTTTCTTGTCAAATGAAGATATCAGTATACTATGATGTGAATTAATTATCATTTATCAAAGAGAACGGGAAGGTGTTAAACAATTAATTTGGTTAATGATATATAGTTCACAGGTCGGGGGACTCCAATAAATGCTTGACAGGTATGACTGTATGACTATTACAGGGTTAAAATAGGGAAATATTTTTTCATCTCAAAGGAAAATAAGCCGCAGTTATTAGCAATTGTTTTGTCTACAGCCGCAACTGCTATTCTGCTTCCAGGCTGCTTTTTGACATGTTATTTCTGGCTAAGAGAGCTCAAATCAAAAGGTAATGTCCAGCGATAAGTCTGTCACTTATCATAGAGTGATGAATGATTATCTAATTTTATTGCCAAATGATGTTTCTTTGATAGGGACATCTGACTCGACTTATAGAAGATCAAAATACAGAATAAATAATTTATGCAGAATATTTCTCATACAATATTATGTGACAATATATGATTGACTGATTATTTATTCTGTAATCAAAATGGAATCATCCTTACCATGTTTCATCTGTATGTGTTGGTAATTTCAATATATTTCATCATTATACCAGAAAAATTATAAAACATAAATGGACACAATGTAGTTGTGCTCAATAAATTTGAAAGGCAAAATTTCTGAAAAATGATTCAAAATGAAATTATCTTACATAATCCTACAAAAAGGCAAGAATCAATGATCAAAGTACATCATATGAAGTGTACAAAGTGGCACAAAACTTACAACATTGTTTGTAAGCAAGTAAGGCTATGAATTAGAAAGATCTAAAACAGTGAGAAATGAAGTTAATAATAAAAAAAAGAGCGATGTTTACCAAAGTTTGATCTAGCTTTCTGGTACAAGTTCTAGGCAGATTCTTTTGCACTTCTTAATATTCCAGAAAAAAGGTCAAATACAGAACTTCATGTCATAGTTAAATTGAATTTTCCATCATGGAAAGTAAAAAAATTTTCTATGGTACCTGTAAGCTAACAATGCTGGCATACATATTCCTTAGGCTGTGCCCACCAGAGAGATCAACTCAATTGAATAAATGAAGATCATTAGTTTGGAATGTGCTTACAGATAAAGAATTGAATCCCAATGGATATCATAATTTAAGAGAATTACGCATCAAGGAACATTCCACCATCACTTAGGCATTTGACTTTAGTTGTGTTTGGAAATAAGTCCCGAAACTCATCACAATGAAGCATGTATGCTAAATCCCCAGCAGAGCATCCAGAAAGAAGATCCTCAGTAGATGGATGCATAAAACTATCATAAATTCAAGGCTAAGCAAAAAAATAAAATAGAAAATAGAAAATAAGAAAGAAAAATGAATTTTAAATGCATATTAAACCTGTGCAGCATTTTGCATTCCCTTGGCCATGAAATGTTCTTTAGCAGCTAACCAGATACACTGTCCTCGAAAATTTACAGCATCATTTCAACTATCCCCACTGAAAGATGCTCCATCACAGTAACGTAACTTAACCCAGTCCCAGTTGAAGAAATCTGAAACCATAATTAGGCCATCCAAAACATATACTCCTTAAGCATAAATAATTATTAATCTGATTTAGACGGGTAAGTAAAAGCATGTAGATTTAGAGAAATTAACCAGGATTTTAAATAAACAGTCAGCAAAACTCACTAATCACATGGTGTAGTTTATTCAAGATCTATATATATATACCTGAAATATAAATTTAGATCAGCAGCAAACCAAATTGAAACGTGGAACTTATCGTAAAATTTAATGAAATGTTTAAAGAGTTTGGAGACATAACTGCTTAGTATTTCATCTATACTTGATATTTTTATGAACAAAAATGTATACTAACATAGACAAAAACATTACAACGAATCAAAATTTTTAAGAACAAGAAAGAAAACCTTGTGATAGGAATGCATGTATAATGCATCTGTGATAGGAACTGATCATATCCTGAACTTCACAAAATGCCTTTGAATGAAACAAATGGAGATGTTGTGGTAAGAGCATTCAGTCAAGAAAAATGTCTATTAAATCTCAATAATAAAAAAAATGAAATCTAATGAACAAAAATAATAAAAATAGAGCTTAACGTCAATGCAATTTCAGAGATGACATACAAACCTGTGTGAATCATTCATAATAACAGGTTGTCGGAAAGCGATTGGTGAGGCAGCAATGTCGGTTACAATGAAGTTTATCTAGTCCATCAGAATGACAAAGCAATTGACAATCCTGAAGTAGAATGAAACAACAAATTAAATACTGTAATATCCACTCACGCTATTAATTACAAAATTAATCATGAAATTAGTCATTTCATTAATTGACAATCCTGAAATAGAATTAAGGAAGAATAACCATTGAAGACAAAACATAAGAACAACACAAATTGGCCTTCTCAAGAATTTCCAAAACAACCTGCTCGATCAACCAGAACACATACAAACTAGGAATACTTTCCCAAAGCTTGACCATTACATCAATTATAAATGCACCCTTCATAAATATAAGTAGAGCAACAATGACCAACACTATCAAACTGTTAAAAGACAATTATCAATAACAAACCTCATATAAAGTACAGATTCAATGCTCTGAGACATATAATAAATAGTTAACATTGATATCTACATGAAATTCAAAGTAAATTTGATACCTCAGGCTGTAATTCAACATAATCAACATCTGCCACAATGTCCTCTGCATTACGGACACTATTAGGCAACTCGAACCCTCCGACGAACTACAAACAACAATAGCGTCATTCCATTATCTGTGCACAAAATTGAAGTCTCCTGGTGATCGATGACGGGAAAAATAAGCCGATCGTGGCGCCACGCAAGAAGCTCGCTTAGGCCGAGAGAGCTACTCTCGCTAGTGCAATTGCGTTGCTTACATATCCACCGCAAGCTACTGCACTGAGAGTGCAGCGATGAGTACTAATTGCTTCCATGGCGCAAGCACGAGCTGCGGACGACGGCTCCGCCATTGGCTTGCGGCTGTCGCTGGGATATATTGGATATTAAAACGACGCAGTTCCACAATTTGATGACCTAATTAACCAGTTATATATTGGATGATATCTATTAAGTCCCTTTTATGCTCACATTATTTCAATTTCATCACATGAGAATATTAAACAGTCCCTCAAATTTTAAATTAATATTAACTATATCCTTTTAATCAAGGAATTTCCCATGGCAATGCTATGTGTTTTCAAGGGCAATATTACCATGGGAAATTATAATTAATTATACTATAAATCAATTAAGTAATGTTATAAAATTATAATTAATTAAGTAATCATTTAACTATAATATAATGTTATAATTGATTAAGTATGATATTTAACTAGTAATTAAATTTATTAATGTTTATCAATTTATCATATATAATTAATTAATTACTAATTTATTATAGATATACTTAGAACTTGATAATTGAAGTAAATAACTAAATATATTATTACTCAATCAAATATACTATTTTATTCAAAAATAATTCTTTTAATAACATTAAAAATGTAAAACACTTTTAATTGGATCATAATTCCAATTATTCACTTAATTGATCAAAACTTTAATATTAATGTATTATAATATATTAAAGCTTTTAATATAGTGTAATTTATATGTAATAAGTATAATTGTATTCGTATATTTATTTAATTAGGTTATTCTAAAAATTTAACTTTTTCTATTTTAAATTTTTTTATATGTAAAATAATAGAAACCCCCCCATTATTTACATTTCACAAATATTTCATTATAGTCCAGGTTCCAAAATAGGTTCTAAACAGGTTCTAAAAACAGGTTCCAAACATGTTCCAAAACAGGTTCCAAAGCAGGTTCCAAATAGGTTTCAAAACAGGTTCCAAACAGGTTCCAAAACAGGTTCCAAACAGGTTCCAAAACAGGTTCCAAACCGGGTACCCCCTACAGGTTCCAAACAGGGTACCCTTTTTACAGGTTCCGGTTCCGGTTCCTCCATATGCAAGAACCGGAACCGGAACCACACAGTAGTGGTTCCAAAAAATTGGAACCGGAACCTCCCCGCACAGTGCAGGTTCGGGTAGGTTCCGGTTCCGGTTCCTGTTCTTACCCCCGGTTCTGGTTCTACCCGCTACCCGTGCTCACCCCTAAATTGGGAATTGATCAAGTATAATTATATCCTTTTCCCAGGGAGTTTTTTTACCCTTGAAAAAACTCTTGGGCCCCTTTGGTACTTTTTTTACCCTATTCTATTTCACTATCCTATCAAATCCTATCCAAATACATATTTGTTTCAATATTCAATATTCAAAATACAATACTATTCTATTAAACTTAAAATATTTAGATTATTTTTAACCCCCTAGGTTTGTTAATTTAACTAAACACCTCCAACAATAAAAGTTTATAAATTGACAAAAACACCCCTACCCACCCACATTTGCTAGATTCTGGCCGCCACTGTCGGAAGGTGGTCAGAGTCAGCAGTAATGGTGCACTACCGACTGGATATGGTCGGTAGTGCGTCGATATGACATTTTTCAGCCAAATCTACCGCGAATGTGGCCAAGTTGACAACCGTATCTTGGCCGTCAACAGCTAGATCTAGCGATCGTAGATTTGGCCTTTTCCGGCCAAATCCACGGTGGATCTGACCAAAAAATGTCAAATCAGCGCACTACCGGCCATATTCAACCGTTACTACGGCAGATTTCGACCAGCTTTCGGCGATGGTGGCCAAAATCTAGCAAATGTAGGTAGGTGGGAGTGTTTTTGTCAATTTATAAAATTTTAATTGTAGGGGGTGTTTAGTTAAATTAACAAATCTAGGGGGTTAAAAATTTAATCTAAAAATTTTCAAAAAAATGCTATTAGAAAAGTATACAAAAAACTTCTCAAAACACTACTCAACTCAACTTTTTTCAAAAGATTATTCTAAAAACTCCCAAAATGGTGAACCAAACGGGATTCTTAGAGCATTTTAAGGCCCTAGGAAATTTAATAGGAAATAGAACCTTTTTTTGTAGTGAATGTTCCACATCTGATGGTCTAAACTTTGGAATTTGGATGATATTAACGCAACTAGCTACTACAGGATTTCCAATAGAAGGGGTAAGTGCCAAATGGAAAGGAAATGGCGGTGAAGTAACTTGTTGAAACCTCCACTCTAGGGATTTGCGGAATTCAAGAATGAGGTTATGCTTACTACGAAGATCAAACATGTACATTATGTCTAAGTTTTGAATTCTTGTATTGATGAAGAAAAACAAATATTTATCTATGAATACATGCTAAATAAAAGCTTAGACTCTTATCTATTTTGTCATAATTTTATGTGCAATTTTGTTCATTCCTTTGTATTTATTTCTTTTGGCGTTAGCCTCATGATGGGTACATTATTAAGTGTTCACTAACATGTTAAATTTGATGCAAGCCACATTAAGCCATATATTCCAGATTGCGGAAAAACGTATGCATTTGATCATAGGAGTTGCACACATTTATTTATCAAGATCTGAAAGTTAACAATGTCTTGTTAGATAGAGATATATATGAAACAAGAAATATCATACTTTGACATGACCTTAATTTTGTTATTCTTAGATTAAGGTTTAAACAACATCACGTTTTCACAAACTAACACTTTCTCTTTGACAATGATCATGTTCCTACTAAATATGTTGGAAGAGACTTTATAACAGATATAACTAATTCTCTAATTCTACCATATATAATGTTATTAGTTTTGGAGTTCTACTTCTACATATCATCATTTGTGGCAAAAGGATTTCCCTTTTATATGACTCATAAACAAAAGAAATATAGAAGATAGTTGAAAGGTTATTCAATGAGCACTCTATCAATTAATTAATGATGTGACAATTAAGGTAACGTAGTTAGATGAAATGTAAATCTTTTTTTTTTTTTTTGTATTTGTCTTTAAATAGGTCAAGATTTTATTATTCAGTTGCAAATGCGTTTTCACATGGTCCTAAAACAAGTCAATAAAAGCCAAGTCAATGTCTTTTTGACTCAATGTCGGACAGAAATTTCATAATAACTTCCCATGCATGTAGAATTTATCTTAATTTAGTAATTACTCTTAGATTATCTATCCAGACCTTCTATTTCTTCATTTAAAAAATCATAGAAATAACTTCTTATTTTCTTTTTAAAAAAAAATTACTAATGACTTATTATTTGAAGTTCTAAACAATATTTGCCTTTTAGTCAATGTTTTTACACCAAGATCGGGCCTTAACCTAGTCAAGGGGTCAGTCCCCAGGTTGGGTGATCCGACTCTCCAACGATCTGACTGGCGAGTCGGATTGTTGACGTCAGCATAAAACCCTAGTATGAAACTTAACCAACATACTCTTGAGAAATTAGTCCTTGGACGTTTAAAATACAACAAACACATCCTTGCAATTTTGTTAGGAAACCGTAGCCGTTGCAACTGCAATCCACCCCAGATCATCCCAACGTTGGACCACCACCAGCCCACCATGAAAACCCTAATCCACCATAAAACACCACCATCTGCCATAACAAAACCTACCACAAACAAGGGGAGCCATCGCGAAGAGGAACCACATGGCCGATGTCGTAGAGGCGAAGCGATCTATAATCCAGATCGATGATTAAAAGATTTGAAGGAGTGAAGATGAAAAATTGAAGATGAGGAAATAAAATTGAAGAATAGAATTTAGATATTTTAATTTTAGGAATTCGGATTTTGGCTTAGCCATAAGTTCTCTAACCCGGCTATTGAACCAGTGATTTGGCATTGTTCCACTAGTTCAACCCCGAGTCAATCGGGTCCAACTGCTATAATTAGGTTTAGAATGTACCTGAGCCTTTTAAGGGTATGGTTCCTGATTGGACCAATTGAATTGGCAGGTTAGATCTGGCTTTTCAAATAATGCTTTTAATTACACTTATAATTTATAAGGACTGTGAATATGATTACACAAAAAACCTTATGTATACAGATTAATTTGAAACTTAAAAAGGAATATAATAGGGAATGTTATAAAGTTAATTCAGTATATTAGGATGGTTAATAATGTGACAATAAAAATCAATTTCAATATACAGTATGAGTGCAAAGTTGTTCGCCATGCAATAAACTTATTAAACCATAATTATAAGAAGATTCTCTAAGTCAGTCAATTAAAGAAAATAAAATTATCAATTAAGCATCCTCCTTTTCTCTTTTTGGCTTACCCCTCACACCCCACCAAAATCCCTTTCCAACAGGGAGTTTACATTGTCTTTTTGACTTGATTTGATTTCATATTGTGCAAAGCATTGAAGTTTCTATCACGTATATGTAAAATACTATGAAGAAATTTACAGAGCCTTCTCCATATGCCTATATATATGTAACACTTAAGAGCTAATAGATAACAAGTTGGGCAAGCTTTAAGAAGCTTTTCAAATTGTTGATGCTGGATTTTGACACCAACGACTCACACATGGAAAATGCTAAGCGGGCTTAGAAGTTACACGTAATACGAAAATATGTAGCAAGAGAGTAAATAAAAGACGATTTTTAAAGTGGTTCGGATACTCAAAAGTGATTCCTATATCCATTGTGATTGTATTAATAGTTTGTTACAGTCAGGTCGCATGTAGCGAGCTTAGTTACACTATAGAGAGAATATACAGAGAGAAAGTGTGTATGCTATTTTAGACTAAGATAAGCCAATCCTATAAATGAGTGGGGAGTCCTCTATTTATAGTGGGAGAATTCAAGGTAATGATTACACGGTTGCAAGTAGGTAGGTGTCGTGCAAGTCCTTCCTTGCATCCCATTGGTTGTCTGCACAAGAGATATCCTTAAATTGCGTAGGGCTTGGGTAGGTGGATGATTCCTAGCCACTCGCAAGCTTGACATTCACTTGCTGTATGGACAAGAACCATACCTCTTCCGTCATTGCACGTCATGGCAACATCTAGATGGTAGAAAGCCTCCCTGAATTCTGATTGGCTCTTGCTGATGAGAGTCCACGTCAGCCCTGACTTTTTAGGCATAACAGAAGCCCCCCA